GCTATCACTAAACATTATAAAAGATTTGGATGAGTACGTTACAAGATAAACATCACCAAGAACTATGAGAAAAAGATACAATACATAAGATTTAATAACTTGATTTCATAATAATGAGACTATCAAAACAAACTTTTCACTATAAGGAAATTGTAAAAAGTTACTACTAAGTACAATAAGAAAATGAGATTTTAAGAGGTTAGTATTCATTTGAGATTTTGTAAGATTGTGTTGATTTTAAAAAGTTTATGAATTTATGTTAGATTTAGAAAATCACAGAGTCTACGCAGAGTTTGATAAAATTTATATATTTATTTAAGTGAATTTTTATAAATTTGATTTAATTATTTATGCATTTATATAAATAATAATAAATTAAGAATTAATTTCAAATTTCAAATAAAAATATATATTTTAAAATAATGCTAATACTTTGCTATTATATTCTAATTTTTGAAATTATTATTATTTTACTAAGATATTATAATAATATTAATAATTATTATCATAATATTTATCACTTATAATAATAATAATAATAATAATATATTTTAATAATCCATCAAAATCTCTGCTTATAGAAGAGATTTTATACTGTACATATACATAACTTTCCATTAAAATTTAATAAAATTCACAGACTTTTAAAGTGTATGGATTGTTGAATACAATCTTATTTTAAAAGACCTTTTAAAAGTTTTGATTTAATACATCCAAATTTTAAAAGACTTTTAGAAGTCTGAATTGAATACCTCTATATTTTAAACGATTTTAAAAGTTTGGATTGACGACATTCATATTTCAAAAGTCGAATAAAATCCTACAAAATCTTAATTGAATAAATCCATTATATTTGGGAAAGAGCTTTTTGAACAGTTTTAGCTTATTGAACGGGTTTTCAAAAAGCTAATTTACATGTTTGCTAAATTAACTTGTTGAAAGAATTTTTTGAACTTAAAAAGCAAATTTTTGAAAAGCTAATCAACCCAGAATTTCGGAATAGCTTTTTCACTTTAATTTTATTTATTCCTTATTTACCCTTATAAATTAATTATTTATTTCATACATGTAAATATATTGTTATTGCCGTATTTATTAATTGTTGTTAATATATTTAATTTATTAAATTATAAATTATGTTTGTAAATTTAAAATAATTAGTATTATTAATTATTACATATAAATCATTTTATTGTAAAATATATAAATCTACTAAAATTAAATCAAATAGAAAAGAAAAATATTTAATTTATTTATATATTTTTTATTATATAAATTTTACATTAAAATTTAATAAACAATAATTATGAAAATAAATATATATATATATACACGAAAGATTTATTATTTTATATTTTACACAATTTTAATAAGAAATTATTATTATTTTTTAATAAAAATATTTTTTTCAAATCTAAAATATAAAAATAAAAATTCTATAATATTTTTATGATTTTCAATAATTAATAAACAAAAATTAAACATTTTAAAAATAACATATCAATGTCTTTAATTGTTATTTTATGTATAAACAACTAATATCAAACAATTATTTTATCAAACACTTTAATACAATAAATTAATAGTTAGTCAAACTCACTAATTGAATCAGTTAACTCAGCTAATTGTCCGCCCTAAATATAGTAAGAAATGTAGACCCAAATAAGCTATCAGATGACTCGTATTAAATTTGTAAACATATGTTACAATCATTTTATTCATTACATTTATGATTATCTTTTTCAAACAATACTCATTATTTTTTATAATTAATACAGTTATTATATATTTATTACTTAAGAAAGAATTACCTTCAACAAAAATAATAAAAGATAATTAAATTTTGTTCAAATATTTTTTAAATTTTAAATTTTAAATTTAGCAAAAATTATTTATAAATATATTTAAAACTTATTAACAGATCATTATGTTTTATCTATCATATTTTAAAATTAGTTTTGGTTCTCTACCTTTTTTGTATTCAATTTTTAAAAATTAAATTATATGGTTCAAATTATTAAAATTTATATAGATTAATATTTAAAATTTATAAAATATTATTAGACAATAAAACTACATAGATATATGTATAAATAAATAAATTATTTAAATACATTATTACATAATAAAAATATATAAAAATATATAAATTATTATGGATTTTATTAAATAAATAAATGTAATAAGTTGAAAGTGATTCAATAGAATGAATGATAAAAAAAAAAAAATTGAATATTGGAATGAATATGACAGAAAATAAGAAAGATAAAATAAATAATAAAATATAGATAATAAGATACTTTAACTACATACACAACCCTGAAATCACATAGGTTGTTTGGTCTAATTTTACTGTGCATTTACTATTTCTTTTTTTTTTTTTTCTTAAATTTAAAATTTTATTTAATATTTATTATAATTAAATGAAAAAAATATATATACAATATATATGTTATTTTATAGAGAATAAAATCTTCTATAATACAAATAAATAAAACTTTAAATATATATGTTGGGTATAATATAAATTCATAATCAAATCATACAATATAAATTTTATCAATTAAATTTAATACACATTTATATTATTTTATTCATTATCCACCAAATCAATACACATCAAAACTCCCCAAACCCCAACCAAACCTAAACACAAAAGAAACAACAAAATTTAAACTCATCGCAAAATTCAAATAAAAACAAAACCCAAACCCAACTTACCCCGAACTTCCCTAAAGAAACACACCCTTGTTTACTTCGTAACAACTGAAAAAATATATATATTTATTATTTTCGATCGATCCTACTAAAAATACTATTTCCTCCGTCCAATTTCTATTGTCCTAAAATATATTTGTACGATTTTTTTAGGTGATTGTCTTTTTATTATGAATTGACAAATTTGCCCTTAATTGTATGATAGAGATTAAAAGTAATAAATGAATGAAGGGTAAAAATGTAAAAATTTTATTTAAAAAAAAAGAAATAAGACAATAGTTGTTGGACGTTTCAAATAGGAAAGTGGGACATTAGTTTGTGGACCGAGAGAATATTATTTTTTTCCTATTATAGTAAAAATTATTATATATTAATAACAAAATTTTCTTTAACTTTTACATAAATTAAAAATATACTCTTACACATACAATTAATTTACATAGAAAGTATTAAAAGATAAAAATATCAAAACTATTTTACACATATTTACAAACTAATACTCCATCCGTCCCATAACAAATTATTCATTTTTCCATTTTAGTCTATCCTATAACAAAGTATCCATTTCTTTTTTTAGTAATTGTACTATCTACCTAACATTACAAAAACCCTTACAACTTACACTATAATACACAAAGGTCATTACTTTTATATCACAAAATACGAATAAGGTTATTTTAGTAATTTCTACTTTATTCCTACTACATCCCAATATAATACTAATACTTCTAAAACTCCGCACAAAAAATAAATTAATACGTAGTTATGGAACGGAGGGAGTATAAATTTTATTACTCGCTCTGTTCTAGCTAAATTGTCCCCTTTAACTTAGGTATGAAGTTTTAGGTATTGTATAATTAGTACGTAATTAAGAAGTGTATTAGTAAAAATAATTATAATTTAATAAAAATAATTATAAATTAAAATTAAGATGACTAAATAGTTTAATTAAAATAAAAATTACTATAAATTATGAATTTTAAAATGTGATTAAAATGTATAATTTTATTTAAAAAAAAAAGAAATGACAAATTATGTGAGACGAACAAAAATAGAAAGAGTTTGACAAATTAAATAGGACGGAGGGAGTATTTCTTAATTATTATACTTCCTCCGTCTCATATCTATCTATTCGATTGCTTTTTACACGAAGTTTTAAGAATATTAGTATTATACTGAGATATAATAGAAATAAAAGTAAAAAAATTAAATTAACCTTAGTGTTGTATGATATAAATGTAATGACATTTGTGTAATATAATGTAAATTAGAAGGATATTTGTAATGTTATGTTATGTAGATTGTACAGTTCTTAAAAAAAAAATTGATACTTGATTATAGGACAGACTAAAATGAAAAAATGAATAGATTGTTAAAATACCGAAAAAGTAAAATTCCGTTTGATTTGAGACGAAAAGAGTTTATAAATTTGTCATAAGTATTGCTATAAGACAAAACAATTTTTTTTTGTTTTTTAGTTTGTTTTATTTTATTTTGGCCATTTAAAACAGGTTGGAAACTCATTGTCACAAGAATAGTTTGACGAAAGAAGAAACTAGCTGCAAATCGGCTGTCAGAAGTATAGTTTGACACACTAGGGCATTCTTTGAGGATTTTTGTCCAAAGTTCATTATTCATTAAAAAAATTTCCTCCAAAAATATCATATCAAAATTTTATTTTTTATTTTCTATATTATTCTAAAAATTAATGTTACATTCAAAATATCACATAACACTTATTTATATCACATCTTACAACTATTACAATTCAAAATTTTTACTATTCAAATCTCAACTCAAAATCCAAACCTACAAACAAACACACACTAAAAAGAAATTTTTGTACACAACATGCTCAGACCATGACTGATGATGATCGAACGACCATTTTGATGGGCTTAAAACTTTCATAACTGAAATGAGCCAACAAACCATATGCCATTTAATCCATTGCTTTGCTTTTGCCTCAATTCATTGATTGAAAAAGCATCGTGATCATGGTTCGCCGGATTGGCCGAGAGACTCGGCCGATCTCGAACCGGAACGGTCAGGACCGAAATATCGGATATTTCTCTTAGGGTTTTTAAATATATACAAATCTTATCCAAAATTCAATTCACATTCATTCTTTACCCACTTTCTCCCTTCTCTCCTTTCTGGCGGCAACGAGTGACGAAAAAATACTTCTACTTTCTCTCTTCTCTCAGCTGGTGGCTTTGGCGGGTGACGAAAAATACTGGTTTCTACTCCCAATTCCTGGTGGTGGACAAGGTATTGATATGATGTTAGAAGACATCGGAGATATATTGTCGGTGAAGAATACGATAAAAGAAGCCAGAAGAATTACAGGATTTATATACAACAATGATAAAGTGGTCAATTTGATGAAAACATATACGAATGGTCGAGACCTGTTGCGACCAGGCATAACAAGATTTGCAACCGAGTTTGTTGCAATGGAAAGTCTTCTGAGATACGCAACTGACTTGAAAAGAATGTGTACTTCTAGAGAATGGGTTGAGTACAATAATACTTTGAGAAGAAGACACGAAGCTGGAGATATATCAGACATGATTCTGAATGAAAGATTTTGGAAACGGGTACGCCGAGTTTGTGGGGTCATGGAACCTTTGGTGAAGGTTTTAAAAGTAGTTGATCAAGATAAAAAAAAAACCTACACTACCTATCACTTACGAGCAATGGATAGGGTAAAAATGGCAATTAAAACCGCAGTGAAAGATTTTCAACAATATTGGGATATCATCGATGAAAGATGGTATAACCAATTGCATCAAGATTTGTATACTGCAGGTAATTGTTTTGGTTTTTTTTACATTGTAGTAATCATTTATTTTATTTTCTAATTCTAAATATATTTGATGCAGTTTATTTTTTAAATCCTGGTATTCAATACTCTGGCACTTGTGAATTTGATTCATCGGAGGTTCGAAAAGGAGTAAAAGAAGTTATTAAAAGACTCGAGCTAGATTTGGATATACAAGTAAAGGCTATGAATGAGGTAAAATATGTGAAACTTAGAACTAATATTTCAAATAATTTTTTGAGCTTTCAAGAAATATATATATATATATTTGTTTGTGCATTGTTATAGAAACATATATATATATATTGATTTCTAATAATTTTACATTATATTGTTTGTAGATAAATACATTTGTTAACAAAGTTGGAGAATTTGGAAGTGCACTTGCTATTAGAGCTGTAGCTACATCTTTACCAGGTATGCATTATAAAATTTATCATTCACTTATGTTTTTTTAACATGTTATAATATGGTGCATGATTATTAATTTTTTTGTTTTTACCATTTTTAAAAGCTGACTGGTGGAATATGTATGGTGATAAAGCCCCTAATTTTCGGAAAATTGCATTAAAAGTTTTGAGTCAAACATGCACATCATCTGGTTGTGAGCGCGATTGGAGTACGTGGTCTTTGATCCATACTAAACTTCGGAATAGATTAGCTATTGAGAAACTGCATAAGCTAGTCTATGTCCACTACAACATGCGTCTTCGGGTGAAAATTTTTATGCAAAGGACAGACACAGACGATTTCTACGACCCGATTGATTTGAATCATATTTTTGATGAAAATGATATTTTAGATGAATGGGTCAGAGAAAATGAATCTCCACTTATTCACGATAGTGATTTGAATTGGTTGGATGAGACTATTGATGAAAGTGGAGATGGAATTGACAGTCAGCGTACTGATGATAACAACGATATGTTTTTAACTTAGTTTATAGCCGATGGAAAAAAGAAGGCCAAAAAGAAAAAATCAGAAAACAAAAATATGAGCAAGAAAAAAAAAACAATCATATTGGAATCTTCATCTTCAACAACTAACGGTGAAGATAAGAATAATAGCAACGATGATGATGATGATGATGATGATGATGGTAGTGGTGGTGGTGGCGGTGGTGGTGCCGATGATGGTGGTGGTGAGAGTGGGAGCTATAGAGATAGTCGATACTTAAGGGATATGGGATAGGCTCAAGGAAATGAAAATTATTATGCTACCTAAGACACTGATCATGGATATCGTGCTGGGATAGAAGCTCAAAGAGATTTTCTAAATAGTTTAACAGAATTTTCAAGTGAAGCCAATGCTTCAAATTTTTCAGATACTAGCAGATATTCTGGAGTTCACGAACATATGCAAGATTTTAATATAGGTTATTCCTATGGAGATTCTTCCCACAATTCGAGTTCGAGTAATAGATTCGAGAGACAGGAGTGGGACCAACCAAATGCATATCATCATCCCTATTACTGGGTATCGAATGCGTTCATTTAGAGAAGGATATTCATACTATGATCGATCAGAAGATGGAAATAGTTTTGAAGCTCCACGACACTCCACAAGGTATTGAATGGTAAGTATAACTGTTTAACATAAACATAGTTTAAATATTTTATAAAATTTTATTTCTAATATTTATTTATATGTAACAACTTGAGGTTGCTTGAATTTAATTTAACTAATAAAGATTGTTTAATTTCAGGGGACGGCCAGAACGGTGGAAATTTGGTGTTGGGTTTTCATGTAACAATCTTAGGCTTTGGAATCTTTATCTAGATGAAAGTCAGTTGCTATTTTTGTGTTCAAAAATCTGACATTTAACATTCATATTGTTGGTCTTTTATGCAGTGCATCTTTGAAGACTTATGCACATGATGGGACTTCAGACCGTCTATAAAGAGTCTTTGTTATAGTTATTCATTGGCATAAAGATATATGCATTGTTATGTTGGGATTGAGATATTTGCATTGTTATGTTTTTGACATATTCTAGGATTTATGGAGTGCATGTGGTATTGTCTAATATTTTGTCGTATATGGTGGAATTGCAGACAAAATTTTTTCATCAATTCGAGAGGTTAACAGTTTGAGGCATGCACCCGCCGTGGTTATGTTCTCTAATATTATATATTTTAAAAAATGTTATGTTTATGATTTGATGAATTTTAATTACTTATTATTATTTTTGTTAAAAATACAATTTTTTGTAAAAAATAATCATATAGGCCGATATTTGCCCGATACGCCGCGACGTATCTGGAACGGTAAGGGCCGATCCGCGAAGCCGATCCGCGACGGCGAACCATGATTGTGATTACAACGAGTTTATTACCTGATAACAATTGTATTTTTTCATTTATATTCGGAGTAGTTGACCTCTTTTTTTGCGGATAGAGCAACCGCAGTGACTGCAATTGAGAAGCCCTTCTCTCTGGCACAAGGGCTTTTTGGCGGATTTTTTAAAATTTAAGCGCACAATGGCTTTAAATTTCAAACCGAATAATCGAAGGACCTCGAAGACAGTCCGGTGCAGGCAAAGCCTTGTTCAAGCCCTTTCTCTCTCATTTTCTCTTTCCTTTCTCACACCCAGATCGTTCAAACACACAAACACACAAAACGGAAACAATTTGTGGCCGTGAAGCCAAAAGATTTTTGGCAGCCGGAGCAACAAAGGTTTTTTTTTACAAGTGAGTGCTATTTCTCCCAATTCGTATTTTATTCCCCTCTTCTTTTTCCTCAATTTTATAAATTTATACAAATTCTAAATTACAATCCTCCCTAAAGGGCTCCAGACCAGAGCTTTCTCCCCCAAGGTTTTCATGTCGTCATTTCTGACCTCAATTCGATTCAATCGAGTTCAGTTCTGAAAAAGAAAAAGAAAATTGTGAGAAATTTACTGCTTGGTCGAATTATTCAGGAGGGAGACGGGTTTACATATACTTCTTAGGTGTGACAACGTTCTCATTGTTGGTTGTGTAGTTTGTAATTTGTATGTAAACTTTATGTTAGGAGTAAAATTGTGACAACTTTTGATGTTTCCTTATGTTGTGAATGTGTAGTGTATTTTGTAATTTGTATGTAAACTCTCCATGTGGCTATTTCAATTTGTTGTGAGGAGAGTGAAGTTACATTCTAGAGACTAATCAAGGGCAAGATCTGTTTTTTTTACTATGCCGTTTGTATTTCTTACTTTGATGTGTTGTTGAGTATGTTATTGGTATGTAATATTTGATTCATGTCTATTATCAGTGACTTATATGTTCTTTCTTTTGTTCACTTTTTTGTATATTGACTTGATATATTTGCATTATATCTACTTTATGTAGTTGTTGGGTTCGTATCATTGCTTAAGTGTGCACGAGATTATTGGCATTGAGGTTGGATATGCTGTTTTTTTATTGCTAGATTGGAATTTATTTGCATTACGAATGTATTGTTCTTGTCTTGCATTATATTGTTCTGGTCTTGAAGGAATGTATGAAATTTATTGGATTTTACATTATATTGTTTGTTTTAATTTTATTCAGCTTATTAAAGATCAGTTTAATAGCTTCTGGATTGGTTTGTTGGTTGTTGCTTATTTGATTTGTTCCTGTTCTTTAGCTTATCTGCATTGTCTTCTATTTTCTAAAGTTAGACGAAATGGATTCTTGGTGTTTGTTACATAAATTGCTTCAATTCGGTGCTTCTGTGTGAATAACAACTCGATGAAGTTACTAGTGAGAAAACATTGTTGTTTTGTAATGGGAGGTCTCATATCAGGTTGTGGTGCGCAAACATAATTTTATTATGCTAATTTATGTTTCCTGACTGATATTTCGTTAAAGCTAGTGAGCCTCTCTAAACCTACTTACAATGGTGGTGGTGTATGTAGTATGTAGATTCTATAGACATCGAGAAGCCAAAATTTCTTTATATGAATCGATTTGTTCTGTTTTAACTGTTATATTTGTTCTTGTCATCTCACATCTTATCATTTTGTAGCTATCTTTGTAGATGAAATGCATATACTGTCATTTTCATGGGATCTATTGCATGTTGTATTGTGAAAGGTGTAATAATAATGAAGGAATAAAATATTGATTTTTGGATGATGGCAGCTTCCATGGCCAGAAGATTTGGTTGAGGGGAGTGTTAGAACTAATTTATTGAAATCTGAGATTCGAAGAAACAATTAATAACAGAACAGACAACGGAGAATCGAGATCGTATTCGAGCCTCGCGTAATACGCAATTTTCTTGAAGCGAATTCGGGCGTCACCAATCACCTCCCAAGATAGAACGAATCTTACGGAATTACAGATCCTGCAAACCAAATTAGGAGAATCGAAGAATTTTTGGAAGTATTTAGAATTGCAGAAGAAAAATTTTAGAGAGCAGTGAGCGAGAAAGAAAAATCGGGAGTTTTTGGATAGCACCTTTTTTATATACTTTAAAAATTTAATGTGGGGTTTTTATTTATTGGTGTAACGTGAGAGAACTGATCCTACAAAATCCGATCCCATTACGGACGTTATAATAATTTTATAATTTATCTGATAAATTCAAATTTGTTTTGAATCAGTCAAAAACAATATTCAGATAAAATAAATAAAAGAAGAAAATTGGATTAATTGCAATTGGGCCTGGCCCACGAGCCCCCACGGCCCCAAGGCCCAATCTTGACTATATATAAATATATATATATTATCCAAATCAAGAGCCCAATGTTGAGCCCAATGTTGAGAGCACACTCATTCCAATCCAATTTATCATGTAATGGGATCACTTTACTTATTAAGGATGAGAGAATTGTCTCATCTTCCAATGTGGGACAAGAGTGTTTGTTATTTTCTCGTTCTTTTCCTACACCAAATGCCAGCAATCCCCCACATGAAAGAGGAAGGAACGATGACTCGATGAAAAAAGAGTGAATTCTGCATAGGATAAGTAGATTTCCCTTTGAACTTTCCTTGAGCAGCATATAGGTTTTACCAATTGTCTAGTTGACACGTTGTTATTGAACTGTTCAATTTCTTAGTAAATGAACTACATACCGACACAGAATCCATATTCCTAGTTTGGTTCTCATTATTTGGTCCATTTTGGTCATGGAACCCGTCCTGGTTCTGCAAGAGTTTCTAAAGAACTGAGCCTACACAGTTCTCCTTCGAAGCGGCCCCAGTACTCTCTCACATAGGTGATCTTCCTAACTTTTCCGAGTGATACGACACTTCACTTAGTGATCATTAAAGCAGTTATTTGCTATTCTTCTTACTCTGTCACTGTTCGTAGATAGGAATGAGTTGAGGCTAGTAGCCCCCACAATGACGCATATCAGTCTTATAGGCATGTTGTCCCATTGAACCTAGTTTTTGGGATCTCTAGTATTTCTAGGTTGGGTTTTCCTTTATAAGACTTATATTTCAACAGGCTTAACCCCTATTCCTCTAGTCAATTTGTACACTGCATCACGATTTAACCCTTTGGTTAGTAGATTCGCTAAGTTATCTTTTGACGCAACATGGTCTATCGTAATAACCTTAGTTGTGATAAGTTGTCTTATGGAATTGTGTCGACGGCGAATATGTCGACTCTTTTCATTATACATTGTACTCTTTGCTCTGCCAATAGCAGATTTACTATCACAGTAAAGAGTTATGGCAGAGACAAACTTGTCCCAATTTGGAATGTCCTCAAGGAAGTGGCGAATCCATTCTGCCTCTTCTCCAGCTTTGTCCAAAGCAATGAACTCAGATTTTTCCATTGTGGATTTGACAATAATTGTTTGTTTTGAGGATTTCCAAGAGATTGCTGCATCAGCTAGTGTGAACACATATCCACTAGTTGATCTCGAATTAAGTGTGTCAGATATCCAATTGGCGTCTGAGTAGCCTTCTATTATAGCTGGACGTCTGTTGTATTGCAGCTCGTAATCTCGAGTGTACCGTAAGTATCTGAGTACACGAACGATGGCTTTCCAATGCTCGCGACTAGGATTACTTGTATACGTACTCAGCTTGCTTATAGCATAAGCTATGTAGGGTCTAGTGCAGCTCATTAGGTACATTAAGCTTCCAATTATCCAAGCGTATTCGATTTGGGATGCACCCTCTCCACGATTATTGGATAAATGGATACTTGTGTCCAGAGGAGTTCTCGCTATTCCTGTATCATCCTTACTGAATTTTTTGAGGATTTTGTCTACATAATGAGTTTGACTCAAAATTAGACCATTTTCGGTTCTGTTGATCTTAATTTCTAAGATCACATCAGCGAGACCCATGTCTTTCATGTCAATTTAGAATTTAACATGTCTTTGGTAGATTTAACGATTTTGCCGTTACTCCCAACGAGAAGTATATTGTCTACGTAAAGACAAATTATTACATAGTCTGTCTCAATGGTCTTTACGTATATACACTTATCACATTTATTTATTCTGAAACCACTATCCATCATGGTATGATCAAATTTCTCATGCCATTTCTTTGGAGCTTGTTTAAGTCCGTATAGTGATTTCACAAGTCTACAGACCTTCTTTTCTTTACCTGAACTGTAAACCCTTCTGGTTGTTTCATATAGATCTCTTCATCAAGATCTCCATTTAAAAAGGCCATTTTCACATCCATTTGATGTATCTCGAGATTCCGCAAAGCTGCTATCACAAGGATCATCCTAATGGATGTTATTCTCATGACAGGAGAATATGTGTCAAAGTAATCTAGGCCTTCTCGTTGCCGATAGCCTTTGATTACAAGTCTAGTCTTGTATTTGTCTATTGTACCGTCTGGTTTTAATTTTCTCTTGAATATGCACTTTGATCCAAGAAGTTTCGAACCAGGTGTAAGATCCACAAGTTCCCAAGTGTGATTTTGAAGAATAGAATCAATTTCGCTTTTTACAGCTTCTTTCCAA